ATTATTTAAATTGTTTTCAAAACAGAAACAGAAGAAGCACGAACCACGTCTTCTTCCTTTAATCTTCGCGAAGCAACGGGCGGTGGCAGCAACCTTCAAGTTCTACCTGAAACTGTGAGGTGGCCTCCCCCGTGAGTGGGAGGTCAGTACTTGGAAATATTTGACAAGTACAATAGCAACTATACTAAGTATAATTGTTGTTTTAATTTCTAAGACCCTCAACTTAGGGTGCTATTATATTATAGGCCATAACCCTCGGTTACCCTTTTTTTCTCTTAACTGTACTTACTTTATATAGAGTCAAGTTGTCGGCCCGTGGGCCCATATTCGTTTAGGATTCCTCATTTCCATTCCCCCGTGACCGCAAGTCACGATAACCCCGTGGGGTCCCATCGAGCCCCAATTGTATAGCATGGGCTCGGCCCAACTACATTTCTATACAATCCTCTAACTCAATATAACATATCAAAATTTGTATGGCAAGGGCTCGGCCCAACTACGTTTCCATACCAACCATAACTTCGTGGCAAGGGCTCGGCCCAACTACGTTTCCACGGAGATTACATATACATGGCAAGGGCTCGGCCCAACTACATTTCCATGCTAATCATATTACATGGCATGGGCTCGGCCCAACTACATTTCCATGTCATCCTAGAGTCCAACTCTAATTATTTTCATAATCAAATTCTCAAGCAAATCCTATGCCTAGAATCAATTTCCGTAGGTAGCCTTTAGGCCTACCCCTATCACACCTTAGTGTTCACACAATTCAACCTTAAAGTATCTCTTGAGACTACTTAAGGCATATCTATTCACAATCCTACCTCTTAGGATTTGTTTCATCATTTATTTATATTAATTCCCCGACTAGTATTTTGATACTAATTGGATAATCTTAGAACATGCCAAGTTCCTATTTTCCAATTGACTTTTCATTTCAATTGATTTCTCAACACAAGTATAGTTTGATCTCAATATCAAAAATATCACTTTACTCCGTTCATGAACTTCATACATGGCGTAAAGTATATTTTATCACAATGTCATCATAGTAATTCCATTAATATGTCGTTCCCTTTATTTCACATAATCATACACAATTATTCTGAATTTGTATATTATGCTTCACTTACTCATATCAATATCATTTTCATTTAGGCATTATTAATCTTTAATAATCCATGAAAATCCCATCTAATTACTTTAGGCAATCTTATGAAATTAACTCACTAATTATAGGCAATATAGTCAGCCATCCTCACCTTATGATGTGCTCAACTAGCTGCCTTAGTGAAACCCCCTCGATTCGTCCTCGTTCTAGGCCGTTCAAAAGTGGGAAATCTGGGAATAGAGCGAAAGCCGGGCGGCTTTCGTGAAAGCCGGGCGACGTTCGTCCTCCTGCAACACGAACAACCTCCTATGTGTGGCGGTTTCCGGCGATTTCGACTCTTGTCGATCCACCAACTCTTCTAAGTTAAATATCACCACTTTATATCAATATCCTACACTTTTAAACGTGTAGAACATCATGTTTAACCCACCAAATGATTTCTTAATAAATCATTCATGATAAACTAGTTACAAGAGTTTTCTTGTAGAGTTCTTACCTTGAACTCAACTCCTTTTTGTTAGATCTTTTCCCCTTGCTTCCCTGAGCTTGAACTTTGATAGAGGCCTTCCCAGAGCTCCTCTCCTACCTTATTTGGGTGGTGAGGAAGATGCAAATGATGGGGGGGGGGGACATTTCATCTCAATCCCTCCCAATCATTCAAGGGAATGGGGTCATGGGTTTTGTCTCTTGGAGACTTCCCACCTACTAGGTACACCCCCCAGCTGCTTCCTTGTCATTTGCAGCACATTGGGTCGTGGGGTGGCCCCCACTTATGTGGGAGGTCATCCCATTATATCCCGGTGTGTATAATTGGCCCCGAAAGTTGTATTTTTCGGACTATTTTAGTCATATTTTATTTTATCGGGCCGGATAAAATATATCACGCGTTCCCAATAATTATGGGCTTTTAGAATAGATGTACATTCCCCAACATTAATTTAGGAGTCTCCGAAACTCATTTCGGGCTGTTATCCGCTAAATTACCAATACAGGTAATTGGGCCCCGTTTGACCAACCGGTCAACTCCATGCCTTTCTTATGGCCCAAATAAAATATCCACCACCATATAGATGTCATCTAGACCAAGATGAATATAATATGTGGTTCGGGAATTATCGGGCGACCCCCCGGTCCGGGCGTGGGTCCCACATGCAATTAACTATTCACGTAAAAGAATTAATAAAAATTTACATTTACGCAAATTCATAAATCGTCCTTCAAGGTTTATTACATAATTTACTAAAAGTAAATATGCTTGGGGACGGTGCTACACAACGAATAATAACTTGAGGATCAGGCAAACTTAGAACCCATAAACGAAGAAGTCGGAGTGCTTGTTGGCCAACATCTAAATGACCAGAGATAGTTGGCCACATGATGGGTGACAATGTTACCCATGATAGATGTGATGGTGATTTATAATGCTATTGCGGGTCTTGTACAAGACTTGCAACATAGGTTATCGAGTATACAATGGTGGCATATTATAAAGCACTGACCGAAGAGGGGATGAGAGTATGGGGTGAAAGATTGAGAAACATGTTACATACATAGTTGCACCGAAGGAAGAGAAACATGGATGATGAGGCTTAAAGTGATAAAGGGATGTGAAGACTTCAATGCTTGGAGAGTTTATAATTGAGCTTCAATGCTTACAGAGTTTATAATTAAACTGCTATTCTTGTATGCTGTCACCTAGGAGGAAGCATGAGAAAAAAGACAGGGTTCCAAAACAGTGTGTTTTTTATGCCATATGAAATAGTAATATAGCTTACCACAATGCTAGCATGACATTATATTAATGATAAATGGAGAGTTCACAAAAGTTATAAATGCCCAATCTTACACAATTTATCAAACTGAAATTTGATGACTTAGTGCATTATAAGTTATATTAGTACTTTGACCTTGCAATCTTGCATCATAGGTACTGATGACTCGTGAGTCGTGACCTTGCATCTTAGCCAAGTATAGCTGTATAAAACGTACACCAACACCAACCATGGTCCTTGTTTTAAGCATAAATAATTATACAAAATGATGGTACTCATGTCAAAGACCCAGTATGATATCATATTGGGAAACGATAGAATCAATTTGTAACACCTCGACTCTACAGAGTCCAAGATAGTTACTCTTCGATCTCATTCAGATCTAGTACTATCCTCACCAACCAGTGCAATCATTTATAACGAACTTTATCGTCACTCATGTGCACATTTGAGAAACTTTCTGGTGGGTCACTCATCTTACGACTACTCTCATATAAGCATGTTTAACCCTGGAGATTTTAAGAGATGAGTTCGCTTAAAAGGAGATGCACTGTTGGTATGAGAAGTACTTTCAATCATTTCAAGATCTTCCTAGTGATACAATGACTTGAAGATTATCACTAATAACTTTAACATCACATAAATAATGATTCATGTATTACTATTGGATCTTTTTGGTATAAAAACGACCATTTCAACTTGATAGACATGGGATGATTGACTAACATAATATGATGGTGCAAGTATATCAAACACAGTAGCAAATTTAAGATCATGGACCTTAATGAGGAATTCATGGGAGAGGGTCAAGAAAGACTAAGAGTGGACTAATTGATCAACCGAATCATGGAGAGTAGTTTGGAGTTTCCCAATGAAAAGGAACGTAGGAATATAGTGCAACAACAAACTAAAAGTTATTTCTTGAAATCTGTTAGGGACCAAAAAGGACAAAACCCGTGTATGCCATAGAAGATTATCCTTGAAGGTGAAAAGATTGCTCACGAGTCACGGCAAGGTTGCATTAGAGACGGAAATACCATATTGGATGATAGTTAATCTAAGGGAGAAACCATTCTTGAGAATAGGACACCAGTAAGAAGTAAACAACGAATAATAACTTGAGGATCAGGCAAACTTAGAACCCATAAAGGAAGAAGTCGGAGTGCTTGGTTGTCAACATCTAAATGACCAGAGATAGTTGGCCACATGATGGGTGACAATGTTACCCATGATAGATGTGATGGTGATTTATAATGCTATTGCGGGTCTTGTACAAGACCTGCAACATAGGTTATCGAGTATACAATGGTGGCATATTATAAAGCACTGACCGAAGAGGGGATGAGAGTATGGGGTGAAAGATTGAGAAGCATGTTACATACATAGTTGCTCCGAAGGAAGAGAAACATGGATGATGAGGCTTAAAGTGATAAAGGGATGTGAAGACTTCAATGCTTGGAGAGTTTATAATTGAGCTTCAATGCTTACAGAGTTTATAATTAAACTGTTATTCTTGTATGCTGTCACCTAGGAGGAAGCATGAGAAAAAAGACAGGTTCCAAAACACTGTGTTTTTTATGCCATATGAAATAGTAATATAGCTTACCACAATGCTAGCATGACATTATATTAATGATAAATGGAGAGTTCACAAAAGTTATAAATGCCCAATCTTACACAATTTATCAAACTGAAATTGGCTAAAGGGTCAAATAGGTCCCTGTACTCATATCAATAGCTCAATTGGGTACCCGAACTAAAAAAAGGTCCAATCCAACCCTCCAACTCTTCAAAATCGTTCAATTTTTTCGTTTTTTCAAAGGCTAAAGGGTCAAATAGGTCCCTGTACTCATATCAATAGCTCAATTGAGTACCGGGAGTTTACCGGCTAAACGAAAAAATTGAACGATTTTGAAGAGTTGGAGGATTGGATTGGACCTTTTTTTAGTTCGGGTACCCAATTGAGCTATTGATATGAGTACAAGGACCTATTTGACCCTTTAGCCAACTGAAATTTGATGACTTAGTGCATTATAACAACGTACACCTTTGCACAGTGGCAGACATTATACTCATACGCACAAGAAGCTCAGCTCAACACACAAGAGGGTGTCCTCCAATAACATGCATAGTAGTTAGAGAAGTTGGAAGTTGTACGCAATGCTCTAAGCTTATCTTGTTCAAGTGGCAAACACGTAAGAAGTCTCCACATTTGGAGGTTATGGTACAACTTGATATTCAAACTAATTATTTTAAATAAGAATCAAGAGCCGTGAATTTTTTAAATGAAGTTGTCTTCAAATTAATAGACACGGTCATTATAGGCTACAGTTTTCTTGCACATTACAAGGCTTACAATACACAAGAAAACAGGAAACAGCAATTCTATTTATTTACAGTTTTGGTTTGTCCCTTGGAATCCATTTGCTCCACCACAAGCTTTTCCTACTTTGTTTAAGCTCATCAATACTCCCGTTCCTTGCTCCAATTACCCTCTTTTGAAGCCGAAGGGGCGATGAAAGCAAATTTCTTTGTGGACTCGGCTTCATTTTAGACTCTTTTTCCTGCAAAACAAACAAATAATATAAAATATAATAGCAATTTTCCAAGTTTAAATCACCATCACCTTCATTATCAATGCTATTGCGGGTCTTGTAGCATGAAAATTCAAAACTTTAAAAGCAATGCATTGTATAAAAATATTTCTATCATCATTACCCCAGTGCTGCAAAGGCTCCCACCTACAGTGGGAGAAAGGGGCGTCGGATGTACGCAACCTTACTCCTCTACTAAAGCGAGGAGACACTATTTTTGGATGACTCATGGTGAAAGTTGCATTGAAAATTACATGGACCGACTCTACTTCATACCAAAGAAGCACAAAGTTTAGTGAGCCATTTTGCTTTATTCCATCATATTCCCAAGCTAAAAAATAGTACGTCTTTGACTCCATTGTATAAAAATATTTAACATTATAAATTCACATAAAATTACTATTAAAACATCTAACATCATACAGTTATGAAAAAAAGACTTGCATCTAAGATAGTAAGATCTTGCACTACAGATTCTATCAAATTGGCCTTTTAAGATGAACTCTCATGTCTTGCTATGATATCAGAGCATGTTAAGCTCCAACCGGCTCAACACCATGCACAAGACTTCAAGAATGGTGTACTCCATCGAGCCACTATTAATATGTTATGCCATCTCACAATAGGTAAATGCAGTATTATATATTTATAGATAAGATCTTCATCTATTCCTCGTATTAGATTAAGCTTCTTAGATAAATCTCGAAGTGTAAATAAGCAAGAGTTTGACAAAATTTAGAAGAAAAATGAACAGACCCTGAGATCCTGCAGTTGAGCTTCCGTAAAACCTCCATTTTGAAGTGTCCCTGACTTCGCCATTAGTTGAATAACCCACTTGGCAGCTTCACCGTAATCCTGTCGTGTGACTCTAAAGAACTGCAGCTTCAGGTTCTGAATGAATGTCACGGCCAGAAGACCTTCTCTGTCAAAATAAGGGTGAGCCAGGGCTGCCTTTGCGCTGATTCTTTGGCGAGCTTTATAGCGAACCATTGATGTTAATAGTTCCCATCCTATTCCACCATCAAGGTCTAATAACTCAAAACCCCTTTGTAGTTCAGGGCCTGCACGAGGTTCGGTTGTCTTTCTCCATGACACTAAATCATAACCACATCTCTTAAGTTGGCGGTTGAATTTTATGAGACTGTTGTCACTGCGGAGCCCTGGAAATGCCTATTAAAAACAAGGATGTGATTGCACTAGAGAAATTATATTTGGAATACTACAAGTTGCAATTATAACATACATGATGTGTGCATTTACATGTATGTGTGGAACTGCTGATGACTTGTGAACAAATTATTTTATGCTTACCATTTGAAGGAATATGAGTCCAGCACTGTAGATGTCAAATCTATCCGGCAGATTCAACTGTATCAAGATATCAGCAATCATGAAATCAAAAGGTGTTTTAGTTTCAACAACAAATAGTTCCTTTCAGTTGCCGAACCTGCCACAGAACCGGAGAGAGTACAGTTGCTACAGGAACAGAAGGTGCGGAAGGGGTTTGCGTGCTCATGATGTATTGTTCAGGTGCTGCATATCTGGATGACAAAAGGGAAAAACCAGAGAGCATAGTAATGTCAATTTCTATGAAAGTATCTAACATACCAGTTACTTAAAAAGCAATCCTTTACACAGCAATTAAACTCCTGGGGGTTATTAGTTTCAATAACTGTTTACCCTTTATTCACATTATACTAAGTGCTTTAGCGTGACTCAATTGGGGTATAAGACATTTAAGCCAAACCTCACTAGAAGATTGATTTAAAACATCCTTGTTAACCCATTGCGCTCCCTTTAATTTTTCTCTGCGGGCTTCTAATATTCCTCTTAAGCAGAAAACCGGGACATTTTGAATAAAATAGGCCGCTCACTTGCAAATTGAACTCTATTCTCCCCCAAACTGAAACTCCAATTGCAGCGAAAACACTTAAAACCACATCCCTTGGGTTGGACTATGAGATGTACAACCAGGTTAACACGGCCATGGCCCATGAGCCATTGCCACTGGACTTCAAGACGGGAAACCAGGCTAAAGACTTTCGGGGCGCCTAGAAATTGACGTATAGAGAGACAGCCAGAAAACAACGTAAAGGTAAAAACCTCCTCTGATAACAACGTGAAAACTTTAATTCTAGACTTTAATTCATTATACAACATATGATTACTTTTTATAGGACTAGATTAACCTAACTAAGGAAATATGTACAATATCTTATAATGATACTTCTCTCATAAATGATACTAGGAAATTAAATAATAATTAAAAGAAAACATACTAATAAAAAACCAAATATTGTAATATTATAACATATCATAACCTCCTTCATGTTATTCACCATTACTGCATCACACGCTTCAATGAAGCTCCAACGCAAATATTTGAAGAATGTAAAGGAAAACTCCTCCCACCACCTTTTTCTCTCTTTATCCTGTAACAAGTTACCTTGGATCTAACAGAAACTCTTTTGGAATATAGTTTATGCCAACTCTTAAATCAGCTGCAGCTCCCAGATCAATAATTTTGAAAGTGCGGGAACCTGCTGGGATTAATCAATATCAATTTTCATGCTCATTGTTAATTTGTTATGAGAGCTTCTACCAAAGTAATTATAAGACGATCACCTTCAGAGTAAATAATGTTTTGAGGCTTAATATCACGATGGACAATTCCGGTTGAATGAAGACCATCTAATGCAAATAACAGTTGTCTCATTATTGTTTGAATGATCCGGTTTTCCCTTTCCAACCCCTTAGGCATGTCCCGATTATTTCCAAGAATAAATGCTTCAACCTGGAAATTTAAACCATCAAGTAAAGCCAGTGTTTTAAACTGCTGAAATGTTTAACACAAGACAGGGTAATTTCACTTGGCCTCATTGATAGTATCACCTGGACCAACTGCTTTTTCAATGTTACAGTCAGCTTACTTTTATGCCACTCTAACTCTATAACGTCTTTTTTTCAAGTATAACCATATTAAACTTTCAAACTATTTTCTTTCACTGTTGAAAAAATATCTCAAAAAACTTGAGATTACAATAGAAAGTGGATGAAATAATGAACAAAAAAATATAATGGCTCAAAGTGGTTTACTAATTTATCTTATTTGGATTAGAAACAAAATTATAAGAAACAAAACTCTGCATTTTATTAGGAACTTTCCACGGAAAAATGAAATAAAATTATGGAAAGACTCCCCCACCCCTTGTCAGTCAGAACACCATGTGTTATACGGCTTAAACATAGCCATCGTGCCCCTGTTTCGTATTTGTATGATCGTATTGTAGGTTTGAAGAATTAATCTTCCATGTATTATTGAGCCATCCGGCAATGATATAAATACAAAATTACAGATAAGCTAAGGTTTGTTACAGATCCTAATATTTAGGATCTATCTATTCTTATCTACACTGCGTGTTAATCTAAGAGTTAGAGTCCTAAATCAACTCTACTTCCTATCTATACAGTCCCGGATGTACACATAATAAAATAACATGAATATGCTACATTTTTCTACACTCCCCCTCAAGTTGGTAAGTATATATCATACATTCCCAACTTGCTTATAAGAAACTCAAACACTGGTTTAAACAGCCCCTTTGTAAAGATATCAGTTGTCTGCTCTTTAGTAGATATGAATGGTGTGCATACAATTCCAGCTTCAATCTTCTCTTTGATAAAATGCCTGTCCACCTCAATGTGTTTAGTACGATCATGTAGCACAGGATTGTGAGCAATATTAATGGCTGCTTTATTGTCACAATATAATTTCATAGGTAGGTTCATTTCCATATTCAACTCTGTCATCATTCTCTTGATCCAAAGTAGCTCACAGATTCCATTAGCCATAGATCTAAATTCAGATTCTACACTACTTCTGGCAACAACATTCTGCTTCTTACTCCTCCAAGTCACCAGATTCCCCCATACATAAGTACAATATCCAGATGTAGACCTTCTATCAGTTATTGACCCAGCATAATCTGCATCTGTAAAGGCTTCTACACTTCTATTGTCACTTCTTTTAAAAAATAATCCTTTCCCTGGACAACTTTTCAAATATCTTAGGATCCTGTAGGTAGCATCTAGATGTTCTTGGAATGGATTATGCATGAACTGACTAACCATACTGACTGCAAAGGCAATATCTGGCCTTGTATGTGCCAGATAAATCAACCTTCCCACCAATCTTTGATATTGGTGAATATTAACTGGTACTCCTTCCTTGACATTTCCTAACTTCTGATTAGGGTCAATTGGAGTATCTATTGGTCTGCATGCACTCATACCTGTTTCATGAAGTAGGTCTAGTACATACTTCCTTTGGGATACCACAATTCCCTTCTTTGATCTGGCTATCTCCATGCCAAGAAAATACTTCAATTCTCCCAGGTCTTTGATTTCAAATTCCTGAGCAAGCTTCTTCTTCAGGTCTTCAATCTCTTCACAATAGTTTCCTGTAAGAATTATATCATCCACATAAACAATTAGTACTGCAATTTCTCCCTTAATGGAGAATTTCATGAATAGTGTATGATCTGCTTGGGCTTGTTTGAATCCCTGCTTCTTTATGAACTGAGTAAACCTTTCAAACCAAGCCCTTGGGGACTGTTTAAGCCCATATAAGGCTTTCTCTAGCTTGCACACCTTTGAGCCATATTGTTCCTCAAACCCAGGAGGAGGGCTCATGTATACTTCCTCTTCAAGCTTCCCATTTAGGAAAGCATTCTTCACATCTAACTGTTGAAGAGGCCAGTCTAGGTTAGAAGCTAGAGATAGTAGAATCCTTATAGTATTTAATTTTGCAACTGGTGCAAAAGTTTCTGTATAATCTATGCCATAGGTTTGTGTGTATCCTTTGGCAACCAGTCTGGCCTTATATCTTTCAAGTGTACCATCTGCCTTGAATTTAGGAGTAAACACCCATTTGCATCCAACCCTTGGTTTATTTTTGGGTACCTCTACAGTCTGCCATGTCTGATTCTTTTCAAGGGCATTCATTTCTTCTAAAATAGCCTTCTTCCACTCAGGTATAGATAGGGCTTCCTGTATGGTTAAGGGAATAGAGACACTGGAAAGGCTAGAGGTAAAAGCTGCAAATGATGTAGATAACTGAGAATAGGACAGATAGTTTGAGATAGGGTATTTAACACATGACCTTTTTTCTTTTCTGAGAGCAATGGGTAGATTTAGATCACTGAAATTATTACCTTTGTCATTTTCTGGCATTGAGTCAGATTCATTGACAGTGGCAGAATCAGGGATGTCCTCTATTCTGTGATTTGGAACTTTCCTTTCATAAACCTTGCCAAAAAACTTACTTATCTGCTATTCATCATCTTTCCTTGTTTCAGAAAAAAGTTTTTCATTTTCTTTTGACTCTTGACTATTTTCTAGTGCATCTAACTGTCTATTATACTGTGCATCTAGATTAATGTCAAGAGGTTCTAGTTTTTCAAGGATATGTGATACATTATTACCATCTTCATTAGGAATCTCCCCCTGAAGATGAGTACCAAAAAAAGGTTGATCTTCTACAAAAACAGTGTTCATAGTTATAAACATCTTTTTTGTTATAGGGTCAAAACATTTATAGCCTTTCTGAGTTGAAGAGAGTCCTAAGAAAACACATTTTTTTCCCTTAGGGTCAAATTTACTTGCAGTTCTGTCAGGATTGGTAATAAAAACTGTGCACCCAAAAATTTTTATGGGAAGAGAGTTAATTAGTCTAGTTTCAGGAAAACAAGCTTGAAGAGTATCAATAGGAGTTTTGAATCCTAGAGTTTTTGATGGCATCCTATTAATTAGATAGGTAGCATGTAAAACAGCTTCTCCCCATAAATATTTTGGAATTTTGGCAGAAAACATTATTGCACGAGTAACTTCAAGTAAATGTCTATTTTTCCTCTCAGCTATTCCATTCTGAGCAGGAGTATTTACACAGGAACTTTGATGAACAATCCCTTTTTCAGCAAAAAAAGTATTTAACTTCTTAGAAAAATACTCAAGTCCATTATCACTTCTCACAATTTTGATATTAGTGTTGAATTGAGTTTGGATCATTGAGTAAAATTGTTTGAACACCTCTTCAATCTCAGATTTTTCTTTAAGTAAAAACACCCATGTGACCCTTGTGTGATCATCTATGATAGTTACAAACCACCTTTTTCCTTTCAGAGTTGAAACTCTAGATGCACCCCAGATATCACTGTGTACAATAGTGAAAGGACTAGTTGGTTTGTAACTATGAGGGATGTAAGAACTCCTATGATGTTTGGCAAGTGCACACATATCACAATGAAATGATGAAGGATTTTTATTAAGAAATAACTTAGGAAACAACATTTTCAAGTAGGAAAAACTTGGGTGACCTAATCTATAGTGCATTAGGTACACTTCATTATTACAAGGAAAAACAGTTTGCAAACAAGTTTTTTCTTGACCTTGTTTATTCAATTGTGTTCCTTCATCAAAAGTATAGAGGCCATCTTCCTCTCTAGCACTGCCAATCATCTTCCCTGATGCCAGATCCTGAAAAATGCAATAAGAGGGAAAAAAAATTACACAACACTGAAGATCTTTAGTAATTTTGCTAATAGAGATAAGATTGCAGGAAAGTTTAGGAACATGTAAGACTTTGGAAAGGTTAATGGATGAGGAAATTTTAATATTTCCCATCCCTGCTATGGCTGAGAAAGAGCCATCTGCAACTCTAACTTTTTTATCTCCTGCACAAGGTTGATAAGAAGAAAAAAACTTTGGAATATAGGTCATGTGGTCTGTTGCACCTGAGTCAATGACCCAGGTGTTTTTAGTTTTTTCAGAACAAAAATATGATGTTATTTTACCATTCTGGGCAAAAGAACAGGTAGGGTTTTCAGGATTGGAGATTTTCTGGGTAGGTATGAATCTGAGTAGGTACTCTATCTGTTCCTGAGTGAATGGTAGCTGTTTAGGTTCAACTCCTGCCTCTTGTTGAGTCTCAGTCACAGTAGTTTGTAGGGCCCTTTCTACTTTCTTCTTCCCAGCTCCTGGTGGTTTTCCATGGAGTTTCCAGCATGTATCCCTTGTGTGCCACAGTTTCTTGCAGTGATCACACCAAGGTTTTTTCTTGTTGTCATCACTTCTGGCCACCAAAGCTGAAGATTCCCCAGGTTCCTCATTAGGTGCTGGGGTGTTGTACATGACCTTCTTCCTGCTATCCTCCATCCTGATTTCAGAAAATACCTCCCTGATAGAAGGTAGAGGTTTTTTTCCAAGTATCCTCCCCTTAACTTCATCTAGGTCCCTATTGATCCCTGCTAGAAACATATAGACCCTATCATTCTCTTCTTTTTTCTTATGTCTGGCCAGATCCTTAGCACTCTCCCACTCTTCATCATCAAAGCATTGATCTAATTCTTGCCACAGAGATACCATTTCATTGTAGTATGAAATAATATCCCTATTTCCTTGTTTAGATTGCCACAATTTGGTTTTGGGGTTCAAAATTTTGAGAAGAGTTCTCAAGGTCTGAATAAGTTTCCTTAATAGAATCCCATACCTCCTTTGCAGTTTTCATAAACATATGAGGTTTGGCAATTAGGGGCTCCATGGAGTTGAGAAGCCAAGCTGTTATGAGTGAATTCTCTGACCTCCATGTACTGTACCCTTCTTCTGCTTGTATTTTTGGTTGGATTTCTCCTGTGATGTAACCCAGCTTTCCCCTCCCATCAATTGCAAGTCTGACAGATTGAGACCACTCCAGATAGTTTGTTCCATTCAATCTATGACTAGTGATTATCATAGATGAATGAATAGGAGACTGGTAATTTGTCATAGAGCTAATTTGGGAGTTAGGGTTGGTAGTGTGTGAGGAATCAGCTTCACTAGTTTCTACCATTGTTTAAACCGAAGCTCTGATACCATGTAGGTTTGAAGAATTAATCTTCCATGTATTATTGAGCCATCCGGCAATGATATAAATACAAAATTACAGATAAGCTAAGGTTTGTTACAGATCCTAATATTTAGGATCTATCTATTCTTATCTACACTGCGTGTTAATCTAAGAGTTAGAGTCCTAAATCAACTCTACTTCCTATCTATACAGTCCCGGATGTACACATAATAAAATAACATGAATATGCTACATTTTTCTACACGTATGATATCACTTTCCGTTACCATCGCTCTCATTCCTGCCACACAACCACATCTTTTCTTCTTTGTGGTTGTTCCGGCATTGCCCCACATTTTACCATTCTAGCACATCATATACAAAGTATTCAAATGAAACAGAGGGAAGAAAAATCTTTTAAATCCTATGATAACTTATAAGGTTTTATCATTATTGGGGGTGCAAGGGATCCATTCAAAAATATAAACACCATGAGGCTTTATTTTATTATTTCATTTTTTAGCAATTATGAGATGGAGCTGGAAAGTTCCAAATACTAAGAAGTGATCTTTTAGAAAAATTAAGGTCCAGGACTCCAAGGATGAATAATTGGTTTTTTATGTGTGCAAGAGACTTAAATAGTTACGGTGTTACTTTGTAGTTACACACAGTCGAAGGTTGAGTAGTGAATTAGATATTAGGACCAATTACTAGGCACCTTATTAGTAAAAAACGCATCACATATTTTACAAATTTTTATTAATTTTAAATTTTAATTTTATGTCTAATAGGAGTGCTCTAGCGCCTTGAGTGTGCCTCACAACTTTGACTACCTTGGTCGTGCACCTAGGTACAAATACGGTGACGGTTATGTAACAACCCAGAAATTATAATGTGCATCAAGGAAGGATAAAAAGTGTATAACTAATACACATGACTTTGTTAAAACATTCACCTATTATGACTTTGTTAAGACATCCACCAATTCATTTTTGGAATGCACCCCCTATAGTTGGGAACTTGGAATCATTATCATGAGACGGCGTACAACATCCTTTCACAAATATATTCTTAAAGATCACATTTTCCCAACAAAAAAACTAGGCAAATGTATGTTTGACTTAGGGGTGGTCATAGTGTTTCTTTTTAATTACTTTCTCCGTCCCGAATTGAATTGCAATTTGCGGGTTTTGGTTGAGTAAAGATTAAGTTAAATCATCCATACGGATAGTTAAATCGGTTATAATAATAAAAATTTGCATATGCGGAAATTACATTGAAAGTTCTATAAAGTCCCAAAATCTAAATTAGAATATAATAAAAAAATAATAAGCTAAATAAGTATTTAAAGTGAAGCTCTATTGACCAAGAAATGTTGCCTTTGCAAATCATTTTGGGACGGATGGACCGATGGAGTATTAATTTATTTAACATGTAGTCAAGGTAACACTTCAGTTTAATACCGGAGTAGGAAAGTTATCAAAGTGTGACACGAAACTGTGAAAGCAAGAGCACCAACATTATATGGAAACTCTTTACTCTGCATCAAATCAGCAAGTGTGGCTTCCCCTTCAAAGCGCCATAAAAGCCAATACTCTGCTCCTTTTCTTGAAGAGCTCTGCGAAGAAACAGCAGAGAAGTGCCATATAGCTATTTCAAATGTTTGCACACAGCTTCTGATCTTAAATATATGATTGCTTACAACAGCGTGGGATTAATACCTCAAGAAACCCATACAGAAAATCAGCACAACTATTTGCACATGCCCTTCGTACACGTTCATTCATCCATATTTCCACTGCTCCAAATTCAGTTGCCTTTTTCAAAACTAAACCACTGTCCTTTAAGCATCGAAGTGAAACCAATCACTAATAATGAACACTTTCCATCCAAGCTCAATGTGTGTTTGTTATCATGGCAAATGCGGAGTAAATGAGTAGAAAGTTAATTACTTTCCATGCATAGAGCATGTTACTGAAAAACTCAAATTTTCTATGCCTTGAAGTTCACAGGAGGGTTTTATCGAACAGATACCTTCAACTTTGATGATGCCTTTTTTGCCAAGGAAACTCTATAAACAGAACCGAAAGCTCCTTCTCCCAACTTCTTTTCAAAAACGAAATCATCCTGCAAATGCAGAGCACAATAAAATCACATCAACCGAAATGAAAATTCCCCATAAAGAAGTAAACTAGACCTCATCAATCTGAGCACGGACCTTCTTAAAACTAGGTCTAAACAGCCTGTCAACAAATGCAAGAACAAACATATCAAAAAATCCAGGTGCCACACCAGGGGTAGCCCAGAGGTAAGACAGGGTACCCAAAGCTAAAATCACCCCAGGAACAGTAATTGTTGGCCCATCGGATTTGGGTAGAGTACTCCTGTATATTACATCCCCACACTGCATGACTGTACACGGAAGTCCAACCCCAACACCCAGGAAAACATCGTGTAAAAAACTGAAGCTTTCCCCTCCAACCGCGAAAACGACATGATTTATTGTTGCTCTTGAAGGGGGTCTTGAGGTGAAACTGAAGGATTTTAATCTGGACTTGCGTTTCTCGTCAAGAGATAGAGATACTGATGAGGGGGTGGGATTTCTGATAGCTGAGCTATTGAGATTTGGGAGATGACTCCCACTACCTGTAGAAATTGCAGCCATGGCTGATGGCTCTGATAGCAAAGGATACTTTATCCCCCGTTGTCCATTTGTTTTAGGAAAATTTTATGGTGCATGTAGGTTAACGAATGTTTTGGTACATTCAACATTTGGCACAATTTCATTCATTTTATCCACCTCACAATTCTATAAAACAATACGTTTATTGTGTACCAAATCCTTCCAAACAATACGTTTTCAATAACATTTCAGGTGGTATATCTGGTTGATCTGTTTGAGGGCATTAACCTTGTCCATTCCCCGTTGGGGTATATCACTTAGGAGGTCATAGGGGTGATAATCGAGTATTTGAATTGCTTAAGGATCGTGTAAGTTCACTTTCCGAATTGATATTTCTCATCTATGTCTGGGTTACGAGAAATTCAATCTAGTATAATCTTTAAGAACACTCTAGAACTTAGGCACAAGAACTAGAACCAAACTAGTGAGTATATGGATTGTTATCTTTAATTTGAATGCCAAAAGTGATCAAGATATATTGTATATCTCTCCTCTATATTCTCTATACGAAATATGGTGATATATATCCATATTACACGTCCCAGGCAGTTGCAACACCTTTTAGAATAACCGTGACAGTTTTTGGAAAAACTGCACGAAACTGCCCAACCGCTCTAGACCTCGGTCTAGAACCACAGAGTTGGTCTACTGAGTGTTCTACCGCGAGTTCCATTGCCGTAGACACTTTGGAATAAAACTCGTTCTTATATACAAGTGTGCACTCCACACCTCCTAGCTTGTATTAGAACACGGTTCTAATCCCTATTGGCATCAATGTCATTTCCAATTACACAAAACGGCCGGTGACACTAAAATCACCAACAATCCTCCCCCATTTTAGTGTAACCCATGAAATGACATAACAAAGTTTACAAACCAAAACTTGCACATAAATGGAAATGTCGATACGATTGAATTTCTGTCTTAGTATTTTACACATTCAAAATATTCGAGAATCGGGATGTCCTACGGATTGAACCCTTCAACCCATTTGAATACCTCAAGATAAAATACATACAAGTTTCTATACTCAACTAGAATACAAACTTGACACAATTATAAAGTTGTGTGTCCTAATCCCATTCATGATCGTATAAAAGCCAAGTCGCAAGCTTTTTGAAGTGCGGCTACACTTCACGATCATATAGGTAATTCCTTTACTCGTGTACCTGCTTACACTTTATCAAAGGAATTATTAAGAAATAAATTCAGCTTCCCTACTACAGGTCCGAACACACACCTTGGGATGATTTTCATTGTGTGTTCCAATCCATTAAGTGTGAGCTTTCCGCATTGAATTCAGCCTCTAACGTTGTATTAGAGGGAAATTGGGTGTCTCACCATTAAGGATTAAATGGACTTTAAACTCATCCCTATAACAGAATTGTGCACTAAGTCCCGGGCCAAACTTTTGGTCAAGTGGTCCGCCAAGTTATGTTGCGATCTTACAAATTCCACCGAAATTACACCATTCATGATTAGTTCTCTAATCATACTATGTCTAACACCTAAGTGTCTAGACTTGTCATTATAAACATGACTATACGCCTTAGCCAAAGTGGCAGCACTATCACAATGGATAGAAATAGGTGCAATCGGCTTCCCCCACAATGGAATCTCAAAAATTAAATTTCTTAACCACTCTGCCTCTTTACCAGCGGTAGCCAACGCAACAAACTCAGATTCCATCGTTGAACTTGTGATACAAGTTTGCTTCTTGGATGCCCAAGAAATGACACCTCCCCCAAGCAAGAATACCTAACCACTTGTAGAAGAATGATCCTCTACAATGGATATCAAACTTGCATCCGAATATCCCTCTAAAATCGAAGGATACTCAAAGTAACACAAACCATAATCCATGGTTCCCTTTAAATACTTGAACACTCTCTTCATTGCGTGCCAATGTTGAGTACTAGGATTACTAGTAAACCGGCTCAACCTACCCACGACATAAGCAATATCCGGCCGAGTGCTTGTCATGGCATACATCAGACTACCAATGGCTTGAGAGTACTCAAGTTGTGATACCGCCTTTCCTTTATTAGGCATCAACTTCACACTAGGATCCATGGGAGTACCAACGGGTGAACAATCACTATAATTAAACCTTTTGAGAATATTCTCAACATAGTGAACTTGTGTCAAAGCAATCCCTTTGTTTACCCGTTTAATCCTTATACCAAGGATCACATCCGCCTCCCCCATGTCCTTCATGGAAAACCTTGATGATAACAACCTTTTGGTTTCATCAACCTGATTTTGGTGAGTTCCAAAAATCAGCATGTCATCAACATAGAGACATATGATCACACCCGCCCTTAAAACATCAAATCGGCTATAGACACACTTGTCCGATTGGTTTAAACTAAAACAATTGGACAAAATAACTTCATCAAACTTTTGATGCCATTTTTTGGGTGCTTGTTTCAGCCCATACGATGATTTGACAAGTTTACAAACCTTATGCTCATTTCCCGGCATAACAAAACCTTCCGGTTGTTTCATGTAAGCTTCCTCATTAAGATCACCATTTAAAAATGCCGTCTTGACATCCATCTGATGTATAATCAGATTGTGTATAGCCGCCAAAGAAATTAACAACCTAATGGTTGTAATTCGAGCAACTGGCGCATACGTATCAAAATAGTCAATTCCGGGTTTTTGTATAAAACCTTGAATGACCAACCGAGCCTTGAACCTGTCAACAGTTCCATCCACTTTCATCTTCTTTTTGAAGATCCATTTGCAACCTAAGGGTTTAGAACCCGGGCAAATCCGACAACACCCAAGTGTTGTTCTCCATAATTGATGACATTTCATCATCAATTGCCTCCTTCCAAAAGGCAACATCTCGGGATTCCATTGCCTCTTTAAAGGTCTTTGGATCATCCTCAACTTGGTAACAATATAAATATTGTACCCCCGTTTCATCCCTTGAACCTTCCACTAATTACAAGTGAAAATCGGGACCAAAGTCTTTCACGATGCGGTCTCGTTTGCTTTTCCTTATTTGTGGTGCTTCGGGATTCAAAGCACCATCCAAACATTGTGTAACTTGCACCTCACTAGTTCTTGGAACTAGTTCCTTTAGTCTTTGAATTGATGAAAATCTCATCTCATCAAAGATCACATCCCGAGACTCAATCACGGTGTTAACCGCTACCGCATCATTAGGTTCTATTACATAAAACCTATAAGGCTTGGAATGTTCAGCATACCCTATGAATATGCAATCAATTCCCCTTTCCCCCAAAATTTTCCTTTTGGGCTCGGGCAATTTTACAACCGCCCTACAACCCCAAACCCGAAAATATTTCAAATTCGGCGCTTTCTTGTACCAAAGCTCATATGGGGTTGTCTTGTTCCTTTTATTTGGAACCCTATTTAGAACATAGCAGGCCGTGAACATGGCCTCTCCCCAAAACCCTTCACTCAAACCCGAGTAAGAAAGCATGAAATTAACCATTTCGTTTAACACTCAATTTTTCCGTTCGGCCACACCATTTTGTTGTGGTGTATACAGAGCCGTGGTCTCATGAATGATTCCAACAGATTGAAAATAATGGGGATCCATATATTCTCCTCCCCGATCAGTCCTAAGACATTTAATTGGATTATCCAATTGCAATTCAACCTCGGTTTTATACACTTTAAATTTCTCTAAAGCTTCGTCCTTAGTGTGCAATAAATACACATAACAAAACCGAGTTGAATCATCAATAAAAGTAACAACATACTTTTTATTGCCAAGGGAAGGAGTTGAGTGAAAATCACATAGATCACTATGTACAAGATCCAAAAATAGCCGAATTTCTTTCAACATTAGGAAACGGTTGTTTTGTGATCTTAGTAAGAACGCAAGTCCTACACTTATCATCATTAATATCAAAAGCCGGAATTAAACCATCTTTAGACATTTCATGCAGTTTTCTAAAAATAACGTGAGCTAGTCTAGCATACCAAATCATACAATCATTCATGGAAGAATGGAAGATGCCACAAAAACAGAATTATCACTAGAAATTAATTTATTCACAACATTTAAACAAAACATGCGATTTGATAAATATCCAAAACCAACAAACACACCACCCTTGGACAGAATATATTTATCGGATTCAATCACTTGTTTGAACCCTAAATTATTCAACATACTTCCCGAAACAAGATTCTTTCGAACCTTCGGTACATACAAAACATCAAACAATGTAATTGTTTTTCCAGAAGTAAATTCTAAAACAACTACACTCTTTCCCAAGATAGGCACCATTGACTCATCTCTCATGCGTAAGAAGGAACCGACCTCCACTGGTTCTAGGTCTTCAAACCATCCTTTATCCTTACACACATGGCTCGTAGCCCCCGAGTCAATCCACCATGCACAGTCATCATCCTGTACATAAAAAGATTCTGGAATGAGTTATACATAATTCTGGACAGAATTATCAAAGTTAGTCAGGAACTGACCTCCTTTCCGTGGAACCAGGTCCTTAGACCGTTCCTGTCCACAGCCACTCGTTCCAGCGCCATTCTTGTTCAGTTTCACACGATAATCACGCTTGACATGTCCAACCTTTTGACACCTCCAACAAACCAAACCTTTCGGTTTCTTGTTGGCTTTGTCATGGTCTTCATACTTGCGCTTTTTGCCTTTCCCCTTATCTTTCGGGTTAGATTTATTATCCTCAACCAAGTGAACATGAGCGAGTCTAGATTCAACTTCACCCATAATTTGGTCATTCTCTTGCACATGAAGATTCCCCTCAATGCGCAAGTGACTCCCAAGTTGAACCAATGACAGTTCCTCATCTTGATGTTTTAAAGAACGTTTAAAATCCTTCCAAGAGGGTGGAAGTTTGTCAATTATACTCGACACGACATAGGACTCATCAACACCTATCTTTTGGAGTTTAAATTGACCAAGAACACGAAGGAGTTCATTGTATTGTTCCATAACCGGCCTTGAGTCAACCATTTTATAATTATTAAAATCACTCACCAAGAACTTGTTACTAGAAGCATCCTCAGCGATGTATTTTGACTCAAGAGAATTCCACAATTCCTTCGCACTC